GGGGGCCGCCGCCGCTCTCTCCTCCCACCGCGCTCCCGCGGCACCGCGCTTCCCAGCGCCAGCGAGCCGTGAGGCCAGCGCGGGGGCCGGCCCCCGCTTCCTTCTCGCCGCCGGCGGCGTCCCCGGGCTGGAGCGCGCCGCGATGGCAGCGGCCGAGCGGGGCTGAGCCCGCCGCCCGCCGCAGCCCCCGGGAGCCTCCGGCCCCAGCCATGGCGAAGCAGTACGATGTGCTGTTCCGGCTGCTGCTGATCGGGGACTCCGGGGTGGGCAAGACCTGCCTGCTGTGCCGCTTCACCGACAACGAGTTCCACTCCTCGCACATCTCCACCATCGGTAAGGGGCGGTGGCCAGGGGCGCCCCACCCTGCCCGCCACCACCACCCGCCGGAGGGCCCCTTCCCCTTCCGAGCCCGGGAGGAATTGTTCGCCTCCCGGGCTGAAGGCGAAGGTGCAGGAGGCCAGGGCGAGGGCATAAATCCCGGGGTGACGGGCCACCGGATGGGGACTTGAGCCTCGGTTCCTGAAGCTGTGGGGTCCCTGCTGCTGTCCGTGACTAGAGATGGGTCCTCAGGCCTCGCGCTGGGGAGCCTTCCCGCCGAAGCCCAGGGAACAGAGGCGGGTGTAGGCCTGGGTACCCCGAGCTGCTGGGGCAGCGAGGATCATAGCCACTGAAATGACACCCCCACACCTTCACCTATGCTCGTGAAGAGGGGTTCAGGGTGAGGAGCCAGGTCACTGGGTCCCCTAGGTTCAGGGGTGACTCAGTGTGGAACCTGGAGGGGGGAAGGAGGAAGGGAAGGGCCAAAGGGATTGAGTGTCCAGGGCACAGCTGTGACGGTAAGCCACAAGGTGGGACACCTGGAGGAGGGCGTAGATAAGGTGAGCCGCCAAGGCGCTGTGTGAAAGGGCCACTGACTAGCCAGTTCTGGCAAAACAGTTGGCTGAAGCATCTGTTTTGAAGAAGGCTGAGGAGCATCAGGATTACTTGTCCAGACCAGGGGATCGGAAGGCAGGCAGGACACACCTTAGAATCCATCTCTTTGACCTGGCAATACTGGAGCCTGTGCTTAAAGGGACAAGGCCTGGCCTGGTGGCATCCCAGGCAGGACTGTGATAGGCTCAGTTGTTGAACTCCCCTTTTGAGGGGGCTTCTCCTCTGAGAAGTCTGAGTTGAGGGAATTCCACCCACATCGTAACAGGTTCCCGTATTGATGCCCGGAGTAGCCTTGGCACTACCCAGGTCCCCTCTCCCATCAGACAGGGCCCCAGCACTCAGTTACACTTGAAGCTTCTGTCCTCCCTCCCAACACACACCCCTTGCCAAGAGAGAAGAGAGAACAGGTAGAGCCAGGAGGAATAGGGCCTTGTGGTCAAGAGGCAGTCTTTGTTGTTAGGCCTGGAGACCTCACTTTGGGGTAACGTGACCTTGAATGTCATTTAAACTTCTGACCTTTAGTTTCTTATCTGTAGAATGGCAATAATAACAGTACCTGCCTACCAAGATGTTGTGAGGATTAAATGAGATAATGTTTATGAAAGCACCTAGCACAAATGCAAACACATGATGAAGCTGGATAAATGCTGGTGTCATTACCGTTCTCATCACTGAGCTCCTAGTGGCTCATTCTCTTTTTGCTTCACTATTTTCAAGGGACTTAGTAAGGTCAGGGGGCAGACACATTCATCTTTCCCAGGGGGGCTGTAAGGCAGGTTCCTAGGAGATCCAGGAGCTTAGGCTGGGCCACTGTTTGGATAAGAGAGAGCTCAGCGGGCTGGGTAGGGCACAGAGCCCAAGGGAAAGCTCAGAGGGGAGCGCAGGCCTTAGGGAGAGGCGTGGGAGTGAGCAAGGTGGTGGATGAGGAACTAGATGGGATATGAGGACAGGTTGCAGGTGTGGGGACAAAGGGCAGCAGGTTAACTCTTAAGGATACTTTCAGTGGCTGTTTATGGGATGGGCCTGGTGCCAGGAGCGGCTGAGCTGTTGTAGGGAGCTGAGGGCTGCCTAGGGGATCCTGGCTTTTGCCTGAAGAGCAGTAGTTTGCACCCTGGTATCCTGGCCACATTGCCAGTCCTAGGAGTGAGATTTTCCCTGGAGCGCTTTACTCATCCACCTCACTTCGGAAGCTCTTGGGCTCCTGCTCCGTGTTGTGGGGACTTAGCCTCCCCTGAGAGACATGTCCCCCTTCCCACCGACAAATGAGGGAACTGCGATTTCTGAAATACCAAGATGGCCCCTCTGAGGCTCGTCCTTAAGTCCCTTGTTCCCGTGCTGCTGATTACCACCCTTTCTGCTTATGTCTCTTCCGTCTTGTCTTCTCCCATCTTAGACATTTCTTCCTGCTAGATAGGTGAACATGCAGTTTTCTCTCACAGGTCACAGGGACTTGCTCAGAATCGCTCTTTTGGGTCAGAGGTAAACCAATGAATTGGGTGGAGGTGTCTCTGCATATCCTACCCGCCCCCTGCTCCCCTCAAGGCCCTTGGTATATTGACCTCAAACCTGAAGACAGCTCTCCTAGTTGTTTCTCTGATTCTGATGGATGGGTCCACCTTTCCCCAGGATGCAGATCTGGGACTGTTTAGGAGTTTGGATTCTGCGGAAAAGAAGGAACCCTGTCCTCCTCCACATCTGCCCGCTGGGCTTCTTAAATGTGTTCTTATTGAAAGCTTACTAAGGCACTGTGATTCTACCTCATCTTGGGCGTGGTTTGCAGCATTAACTAAGATTTAGGGAAAGAGTAGAATGGTCAGGAAAAGCTTTTCTCTTTTCTGGATATAGAAGGTTTTTCATAGAGGTGAAAGGGGCAGCCAGGAGACAAATCAAGGAGCCAAAAAAATGGGTACTACCAAGTTGTAGTCATTAATTTATCCAATCCAAAAAAAAATACATGTGTCCTGAAGGTAGGCTCCGTGCTATGACCTGGAGGTTCCAAGATAAATAATACACATAGGCACCTCTCCTGGAGCTCCTTTTGTGAATGGGGAAAACCAGGCAACTCACCAAGCTGCCAAGACAGAGGTCAGATTCTTGGAGTGTGTTGGTATCACCTAGGCTGGCAATTTTGTGATTTACTGTTTAAGCCTCTTCCTGTAAAAGCCTGTGACATTCCAGAGAAGGGCCCTCCAGGGAGCAGCGAGGGGACTTCCCAGGTAAGCACTGACCACCCCTCTTCTTTCTAGTCAGCAGGTGGCCCTGCAGCTGGATCTGTGCCACTGGCATCCTCCCGTGCAGCTGTGCTGACCCAGGTGCGATGCCGAGGTGGGCAGCCAGCACCTTAATGTTCTCTGCTGTTTCCTGATGAGACTGTCTTACCTGTTAAACAAATTAATTGAGCATTCACTACAAACCACCATGCCGGGCATTCAGAGACATATTGCAGTCCACTTTTTTCCTGCCCATAGAAGCCTGTAATCTAGCTGGGAAAGCAAGACAGGCCAAAAGAGCCTTTGCCATGATGAGATAATATACCTGGGAGCGCGTGGTGAAGTGCTCTTCAGATGTAGGGGATCCGTGATGATCATGATTGTGACGAATAATGAAGGTCTTGCAGTTGTTATCAGCAGCTAAATCATGATGTAAGATGTGTGTGAGGCAGCCAGTGAATGGCGAGAGAGCCCTGAGTGCTAGTGCTGCAACCACGTGCGAGAGGAGGTCAGAGCAGGAGAGGGGCCCTGTGGACCAGACGCCACGGGAAAGGCTCGAGGAGGCGGGAGGCTGGAGCCAGGCCCTGCCGTGGGGGCTGCTTTTCAGTTCCTGTAAGAGAAGGAGCAGATGGCGTAACAGGAGCAGAGACAACAGAGGTGGGAATTCAGTGGGCGTTCATGGGACTCTGGGCAGTCTGGCTGGAACAGAAGGGGGATTTTAGGGGAGGAGTGAGAACACTCCTCTGTGTTTATCTCTCTGTCTCCCAAACTAGGCTTTAAGTGCCTTGAGGGTGAGGCCAGATCTGATTCCTCTTTGTTTTCATAGTCCTGGTATAGGGCCAGGCACAGTCTCCATAAATGTTGAATGAATGATTGAATGAATGAATGAATGAATGAATGAATGAATGAATGAATGAATGAGTGAATACATTGAGGGCCTGGCTGAGGGGGTGGCACTTGAGCCTTCATAATGGTATAAGAGGTTTCTGAGCAGGGGAATGGCTGGCACTAAGGGTGTTGGCTGGAAGAGGGGAGTAAGACTTGCAGCAGGGAGACCAGCCAAGGGCTATGGTAGTACCTGGGCACGAAGGAACCTCTCAGCCTGTTCTTCTCTCTTTTCCCCCGCCGACCCCTTCCTGTGGCACCAACACTAAACTTCACACCGTCATCTGTTCTCATTTCCCACCGATCAGCCTGGCAACTTCTGAAAGGGCCTCATGTGACCCGTGCTGCCTGCCCAGGCAGGGAGACAAAATGTCCTATCCCATGTGGACATCTGTGTGCATGGGCTTTTGGTCTCCTTTCTGCGTGGCAGCCAGGAGTGACACATAAGCCACTAATACCAGCTGAAGAAGGGATTGCCCGTGAGTTGCTTTTCTCCTGCCCATCCTGGTCTTCCCTGAGTACACCTGTCCTGGTCTCTGGACCTTTTTGCTTTAAAGGCCACCATTCAGCTGCACCCCTTCTGGGTTCTAAGGAGGCTGCAGCCTGTGATTTTCAGGTTTGACTGGTTGAACTGCTGTGACTTCGGGGCTGCTTTTTCTGGCTGGGTGTGCTGCTGCAGTATCACCTTTCCAGGAAGTCCTGTTTGAACTGAGTCCCGCTGCCTGAGGCAAGGACTTGTGGGTGACTGAAGGGGAGGCAGAGGACTGGGGAAGGGCCAGTGGGGAAAGATCTGATCCTGAAATCGAGCTGCCTTACAAACACTAGGTCTTGGGGTCTGCGGGGCCCCAGACCATGAGGCACTGGGTACATAAACTGTGTGACACTGGGGGAGGGTCTGGGCTGGGTCTGTGCCCCAGACCTCAGGCAGCCTGAGGCAGATCTCTTCCTGCCCTGCTTCCAAGGCCCCCCAGAAAGGAAGGGAAGGTGAGATGCCATGAGCAGAATAAGAGCGCATATTGACATGCATGGGACTCCCCATGGCCACTGGCTCTGCGACCTTCAGACATTTGTTTAATATCTCTGTGCTTAGGCTCTGCATCTGTAGATTGAAGATAATAGCAGAATCTTTCTTAAAAGTCATTGTAAAGATTACAGAGGCTAATGAATACGAAGCACTTGGCAGAACCCTCAAAAAATGGTAGCTGCTGTCATTGTATTATTATTATTCCTAGCTCATAAGAATGTTGTAGGGATTAATAAACTGTCCATCACCCATGCATTGATCATTCAGGCACTGTTTACTAA